CTTAGCCAAAATTAATCAGATCATTAGGACATTTAGAACTCCTACTTCTAGGCAACTATAACAAAATATATTCATCACCTACTAGTTAATTAAATGGAAATCAAATGAAAATATACTTTGCTGCCAGAAGGCTAGAATCCTTGGCACTGATTAACTGTATCGATCGAGGTACTTTTCATTAGATCTTCCTGGGAAGGGATGATTACAAGTAGTTGATAGAGACAAAATGCACAGGCATGGGTGGATGTTTGTGGTGGGGAGGAAAGTATGTACTGGCACCTCCTCACAACCCCTAGTCCAATCTGTCCTAAATCTCCAAGATTCAAAGTAGATTTAGGCTCCTGTGGGTCCCTGTTGCTTCTACTTCCTGCTTCCAATGGTTTCTGAATTTCTACCTTGCACTGCCTCCTCCGCAACTCTCATCCTTTTTATTTTCACCATTATCCTACCTCTTTGCACCACAATGAAAAACACTCAGCTTCCTTCATTCTCCCAAAACAAGTACTTTCTCAGTCCTCCTGAGTGTAGCTACCTTTGGATTAAAGTTTGAGAAAATGGGAAGAGGTTAAAGCGAGGCACAGGGATGGCAAATGTAAGTTGGAATATTAGACTTTAATGTCCTCAAACTTCAAGTCCATTCCCATCACGGGGAAAATTTCTGTTGGTCATGCCCTTTTGTAGGATCCTATTTCCTGCCAAGTTTCTCAAGCTCCTCTCCTAATTCCCATCTCTCTCTCTCTCAGTTTTTCCAAGCCCTCGTTCTCTCCCCTCCACCTTCAATAGGGCCCAAGGAGAAGGACAACTCCTTCCACTATCAAAAAACACCATAATGGTGTTTGGAATTTTGCCTTCCTCCAAGATCAAGAGATTCATTTCACTGCCTTCTTTACAAAATATTTCTCTCCTTTTCTTCATCCACTCACTCTTTCAATAAAGAATTATTCAGTATCTACTATGCTACTATGCTAGGTTTTGGGAAATATGAAATTGTTATAAATAAATAATTCAATCAAATATGGTCAGATGAAATACTTAAAAATTCTTGTTTCCTTATCTCTACAATGGTTATGAATAGCCCAATGAATGGCTCGATTAATTTTGAGTCTTCTTATTTTGGATAATGACTAGTTCGAAACTGGTTATTTGAATTTAACTGATTGATTTTCAAAATAATGAATGCTTTGCCTTCAACTAGCTGTTTTTGAATCTCTTGAAATGCCAGGCATAGCTTTAAAAAATCTGAAAAATATCCCATCATAACATATGCTCATGTCTAGGAGAGAACACAAACCTATTTCTAAAATTTAGCACTGTCGGCACAATAAAGCTTTCTGTCCACGTCCCTCTGCTTTATGGAGAACTTGATTACAGTCAATTCAAATGATTTAATTTTCAAGTGTTTTGATACTGGTTCCAAACCACCTTTAGAGAGTAGGTACATGGTAACAGAAACTGAAGAACTAATATAACGTGGTATCTCCAAGGAATTACATAAGCAATACTTAAGTATATCTATTTGAAGGTGTAACAGTGGACTTCTGTTTGTTTTGGTAAATGTACCATGCTAACTGTACCCTTTACGATGATAACAACCTTCGCTGCTTCTTTGGAGGAACAGCACAATAACTCTCTCAATTCAGTGGGCATTTTAGTCATGACCCAAGTGAGGAAATGTGGTAGGTTGTGTGTCAGCTGAGTCAGAGAGAACACCACAGGCTGGGAAAATTATACTTGGTCATAATGATATCTGAACTGAAATTTCCAGGTGTCTGCGCTAAGCGGAGTGAGTCATCGCTTGGGCAGTGCATTCAGAAGGTCCTAAATACCCACTCCTAAGTGCAATATAAAACCTACTTTGTTTCCAGAAATGGTCAGGTTTTATGTCATTTTATTATCTTCAATTTCTTTCTATCACATGTCAGGTTAATCTCACAAGAGATCCTCTGCCTCCTGGAATGATTTCATATATTGTTGTTCCAAGGAGAGCGGGAGAAAGAAAAGCATTTGAATATAAAATTCTGCTTTGGAAATGATTGCAAGGGGGAAAATAGTATGTAATAGCAAAAAGAAAGCCTTGGCTCAGGCCCTTTACAGCAATAACTCTTTCTGACTCATTTTCCGTGATTGGCCTTCTCTCAAAATGAAATCAAGGGTAGTGGATATCTAAGCTTAGCAACCCTCCATGTTCCAATGTGCTTCGCTGTGGGATTTTTGGAGCAAAGCTGGTCTTAGCAAATTGTGACGCAGGTGAAATTCGGCTTGGTGAGGGTTCATCTCCCCGCTCCCAGTTTTCTCACCATCCCTTCCTCCTGAAGTGTCATTTTCTAAAAGCCTTCAAGAGCCAAAAGTAATCCAATAATGGGTTTTCAGACACCCTGACATTTTAGATTATGGGTCTTCCAAGGACCAGATAAATCATATCTTGTAGAATATAGTTTGTAACTATACAAAGGATGGCCACATTTGGAAGAGCTACACAACGTTTCACATCAACTCCTTCCCTCCACCTACTTTTTCTCAATTTACATTTCCTTTATTAATGAACTTTTAAGTTGAATATGGCGACCTAACTCTTTTAATGACTGCCTACTATGTGCCAGGCACAGTGTTTCTACATATAATATCTCACTTAGTCTTCACAACTCCACAAGGTAGATATTATCATGCCTGTTTTAGAAAAAGGAAATGGAAGTTCAAAGAGATTAAGTAAATGGCACAAGGAGCTAAGCAGTGTTGATCCTGACTCGAACCCAAGTCTTTCTGTCTCCAAAGCTACAATCTATCCAATATATCACTTCACTTCTCATCTAGCTCTGGAGATTACTCAGGACAGACAAGAAGGAACCACAAGGCCTCATGTTACTATGAGCTTCACTGGAATGCAGACCACTCTCTCTTCATATTTACTTAAGATACTTAAACACAGATTTAGTATTTCTTATACCACACATCTCATTTTAATTTCATCAACACAGTTTGTATCCATAAACTTCTGAAATTTGTTCTTCCTTTTAAACTCACTATGTCAGGTCTTGTCTCTTCAAATCTTATTTTATTGTAGAGAAAGAGAACTAAGAGCAGAAATCAAACTAAATGCCCTCATATTCCATTCTGTGGAAAATTCCCACTAAAGTACTCACTGGTGACTCCTCCATAACTACCTGTTGGGGGGAAAAGGAAGAAAGAATGAAGACTGGCCTTTTGAGTTACACAGACCTTGGTCTGTAACACATTTGCTGCCTTCTGCCTTAGGACCTTGAGCCTATTACTCAAGCTTTGTCAACCACTGTGATACACAGCCCTTTCCTTATCTGTGAAATAAGATTAGAACTCCCTTCACTTACAAGGGAGGTTGAATGAAATAATGTATGTTCAATATCTAGTTAGAGAGTTAGCTAGATAGGCCTCCAATATTTTCCGTCCTCTACTCTTTCTGCCAGCCCTCTCCCCAAATTTGCATTCCCTCTGCCTGCAGAAGTCTATCTCCTAAATAACACAGATCTTGAATGGATTGAAATGCCCCTTGTATCTTCTCTCAGTTAAGAGGTGAAATAGCAGTGGTGATGTACAAAAGCAATGCTGTTGAATCATTCGGAAACATTTTGCTCCTAGGAGAGACGATCTCAGAAGGACTGTGCGTGCAATAGTCCAGCTGAATTTCACCCTCATCAGAAACTATGAATCTAACATGATTCCTCTCTCCTCTACCCAACTCCTACTTTTACTTATTGATTAAAGGAAGAAAAAAGAGTCTACTGTACTTGTACAACAAAACAGAATCATGATAAATGCTGCTGAGTTAACAAGTTTCCAGTAGCATCGCATCAAGCTGGGCATGGAAAATAAGAAATAGGAGACTGCTATCAGATAAGGCCTTGAGATCAACTTCATCTGGGGCACTTCATTGTCTCTCGTCCCCCTGCGGTGATTTTTAGAAGGTCTGCAGCATGATAATAAATTTGGCCACCCTACCAAATTTACCAAAACTCTAGCAAAAGACTAGAATGCAAAATCTACCCATCCTGGTAGATGTGATATTTTTCAAAACCCAGTTTAGAATACTATTTCAGTGAAATAAGATGTGTCTGGGCTTTGAATCAAGATTAAGATAAAGACATTTAACTCCTGCGGGACCTTCTTATTTTATTAACTCTGAGTTTTGAGGCACAAAAACTCAGTGAAATAAAAGATTTGGGTTTGGGGGCACTCAAGAGCTAGGAAATTGTCTTGATTATTCCACAGATTTGACTCACTAGGCAGCACTGCCATTTTAATTTTTTTTAAGTAAATATAATATTTGCTGTCTTGGCAACAGAGACTTGGACATCAACCCCTCCGACCCTTAGAAGCAGAATGGGGCACAATAGTCAAATTTCATTTTTTTTAATATATGTATTTCCAAAGTTAATTACCTCATTTCCATGTGACCAGATGACCCAGAAGCTTCTTAGACTAACACTTGCTTAGATTAAAGAGGCCTGCCCTGCTTAATAATGCCTCCACTGAGGGAGAACTGGGTGATATGATGAGTCCACTAGAATGCCCCATTTTCTGTGTCTTGCTTTGTCGTGGCTTGGCTACTCAAAATCTGCATTGCCTGGTTCTGTCTTTCCCCACTGTTGTGATGGAACCTGGAGGTGGTGACAACATTTACTGGGGGAGAAAAGAAAGCCACTTCTCCTCAGTATTAAGTCAGTCACGGTCATTTCAGGCCACCTCAAATCAGAGCACCTGATGTTATATCTCTTCAACCCCTGCTGCTACTGCAGATCCCTGTGTGGACTCCTGGGATTTCTTGAAGGAAGACAGTCCCACTCCTTCAGTACTCCCATGCTCAACCAAGGGTTTTCAAGGCTTGGGTTTCCCCAGGTCAATGAATACATTCATGTATTCAATCATTTTTCATTTATCATTGTCTTAGTTAGCTTGGGCTGTGATAACAAAATACCATAGACCAGGTGGCTTATCAACAACAAAAATTTATTTTTCACAGTTCTGGAGGCTGGAAAGTCCAAGGTCAGGGAGCATGGCTGGATGATGAAGGCGCTCTTCTAGGTCGCAGGCTGCAAACCTCTCCCTGTATTCTCACATGGCCGAAAGAGGGCGAGAGAGCTCTCTGAACACTAACCACACTCATGAGGGTTCAACCCTCATAACCTAATTACTTTCCAAAGGCCACATCTGTTAATACCATCACATTGCGGCTTAGGATTTCGACATGGGAACTTGGGGGTTGGGGAGACACAAACGCTGAGTTGACTACACGCATCAATCATAAGGAAAACTCAGTTCCAGCTGTTGAGAACTCAATCATGAGCAAGACACAACCATTCCACTCTCCTGGAGTTTACCTTTTTCCTTTTCTAGTATGCCATTCATCCCAGAGTCACTGATTCGGGAAAGGCATTCATCTTCACCTGCTTGCTGAGCCAGAACCAACGCCCCCACCCTCAACTCTCAACAACCTAAGCCCAGGCATTGATTTAAGACAACTTTCCGACATGATGAGTCTTCCTCTGAGGGCCTCAGTGCCTTTTTTTCTGACAGCAAGACGCTATTAGTGAACAGACGACCTGGATTCAAATCCAGTCCATACTGACCAGCACTTTGGCTTTGAACAAATTGCTTAAATTCTCTGTGCCTCAGTTTCCTCATCTATCAAATGGAGATAATAACAGCACCTACCTCATAGAGTTCTTATGACAGTGCCTGTTCTGTAAGAAGTGTTATGTGAATGCTGATTAAACAAAAAGTGAAGCTTTTCGTGTTAGTCACTATGTGTCCATCATTCTCCTAAAGAGTTTACATGTATTAAATCATTTAATTTTCAGGACACGCCATGAGTAAAGTCCTATACCGGTGACAAGGAAACAGGCCAAGAAACTTTGAACAACTTGCAAAGTTCACACCGTTGTTAGGTTCACAGTTGTTACCTTGCAACCCTAGGATTCAAACGTAGACATTCTGGCTCCAGAACCAGGATTTCTCAAAACACGGATTTTTCAGAGAAAGTTCAGGAACTTGATGTATTATTTTTTGTAGAATTAACTGAGTTCTTATGTAAATTTTCCAGGCAGCCAAGACACAAACATAGTCTTTTCAAGGTGACCTCCTGGAGACTTTCAATTGGCAGTTTCTGTTACTAAACAAAATTTTAGGTTCCCTCTACTGAGACACCCTTTAAAAGGCAGAATTCTAAGATGGTCCCCAAGATTCCCACACTCTGATGTAGAACTGAAACTTAGACCCAAGAACTCACTTGTCTCCATCCGGTCTCTTTTCCTGCTGAATTGCTACCAGATGAGATGAGAAATGTAAATGTGGCCAAATAAAGATGCAGAAGAACTCACATGGTTACATTAGTAAACTGGCTTAATGACTTCGGGTTCTATGAGTCCAAGGATAGACAGGAAATAATTAATTTTTATGTGTGACTTAGATTTAGATTATGGCCTGGAACACATGCAGCTAACATACCAAGGTCATTTCAAGGCTCAGTAGAGGGAGAGATGAAAAGTTAGAGTACATAAAATATGCTTTCTAATAGTTTAGCTTTCAAATAAAGACCAATATGATAGCCAACTCCCATATTATATTAAGAAGCTCATACTGTGGTGGTTACAGGCATAGGCTCTCAAGCCAGGGACCTGAGTTTGAATCCTGGGCCCACCACCTTCTAGATGCATAACCCTTACTTAACTCATCTATCTCAGTTTTCGCATCTGTAAAATTGAGATAATGAATGTAAGTATCTCATAATGTCTTGTGCGCACTAACTCAGTTAACATTATGTCCAAAAAGAATGTCTGAAATATGGTCAGCACTCGCAAATGTTATCCAGGATTTCTTATATTTCAGTTCCTGAATACTTGGTTTGAAAAACAAATCTCTGGGCACATAAATTTGCCAGGCACTTCTGTTATTGAGATTGTGACACATAAATTCAATCACGGTTCATATTTCTTTCAGTTACACTCCATTTTAAATTTACAAATAAGAGTGCTGTTTCACAAGTGCCAGTTTTGCTCAATTAAGAAAAAGAAAACTATGCTTGAGTAAATCAAGTCACTGATTTCAGATGGTACTCAAAGTGGATTAATAGACAACTTCATACCAACATTTTTAACACATTTTCCTTGTTAAAGAGCATTAGTGCATTAGCCTATGTTTTATTAAGTGTTGAGGGAAGATGATGTGAAGATGATCAACACACGAATCCCTCATCATTTTCCTCAAAACTGTGTGTTCTAAAAGTTCTCTAAAATTAGACTGATAAGATTCTTAATTTTTTAGAAACATAAGATTTACCCATATGGACTAAATGAATATGTGATGGTTTGTAGGTAGCTGATAGTGTGTTCACAGAGCTGCAAGATTACCTCGCAATATATTCAAAATGTTTAACACCCAGAATAGTACAAGCATTTCTACAAAGATTTACCGGTGCCTACTAAGAGAGCAAAGCATCTACTCAAATCTGAACTCAACCCTTGTGACTGATGTTTGATGGAGAGTTGGTGTTAGGTTTACACTAAATTATGAAAAATCTATCTACAAACACATGGACTAGGATGCAGGCTAAGAGATGGGTACGCATTTCCCAGAAGAAGGAATTTTGACGAGAAATATCATAAATGGCCATCATGGGGAGGTTTATCAAATTCCAAATTTGAAGTCTGAGATGATGGTTCTGAATGTTTCTAAATCCTTCTGCATGTTTGAGATGGCCTCTGAGTGTGCTTCCAGAAAGACACATGCATTCTGCATCTGGGACACTAGAAAACACACAAATCAGATGAAATTAAGTAATCCGAGTCTATCTCATACAGAGAATCATCAGCTCTCTGCTATTACGGTGCACAATTTCTTGCTGTGCGTGTGACAGGTGACACAGAAGAAGTGGTAGTGTGCTATTGCCAAAGAAAATAATGTCTACTTGGAACTCTGCCTGTCAATTCTTCAATGAGGTCCTGTTTCTTTGGAAATTGAGATATGTATTGTCTACACAGAACGAGCTCATCAGTGACTTAGGTTTAGCACGATCTCGAGTTATTTGTGAGTTTATGTTAATCTTTATACGGGTGCTAATAGGCATAACATAAAGGCAATGTTCAATCTTAACTCAACTGTTCCCCAAAATTCTGGCTGCAATTCAATGGAAAGGACTTACCTGGGTTGGGACAGCAGAGCAGTTAAAAGTAGCTTGCAGATGTTATAAAAATACTATAGGAAAAACAAGGAAGACATTTAGATCTGGATTTTCAAAATATTGGATGTTCTCACCTTTCACATTCCTTTGTCAAGAAGGAGTGGCTTTGCTAATAATGAACCCTCAAATATATTTAGCATGATGTAAATTTTATAATACAAAGATGATGAGCTAACTTAGGAAGGTAGCTCATCGCGATGTGCTAGAGCTAAACTCAAAATCAGACATTTCTAATCTTTGGCCTTGTAGCATACAAATGTTTTATCTGACCTCCATAAAATGGTTCTTATAAAGAAGTTGCTAGCTATGAAGTCATAAGCATCTGTTTGCAGGAAGTCATTCCCGAGGGAAAACGTTAAAGCCTTACCCACAGGTCGAAGGAAATCTCAGGGCTCTGAATGATCTGGCAAAGCCCAGAGGAACACTGGAGACATGTGCTTCCCATTCTGACCAAGCAGCATCAAAACGTGCCCTCATGTTATATCTCAGAGTTTCAGAACCCTAGCATTACTTACCTCTTCTCATTAGAATTTGAGCTCCATGATGATGGAGACTTTGCCTGTCATGGTCATTGATAATATCTCAATCTTAAAGTAGGAGCTGGCATATAGTAAATACTGAATGAACACTGAAATTTACCTCGTATCACATACTTTTAAAGACAATTTATATGTATTAATTCATTTAATCCTTTCAACTAAGTAGATACTAGCCTTATTCTCATTTTATGGACAGAGAAACTGAGGCACAGACCATTTCAGTAATGTCTCCAACATAATGCAGCTAGGAAGTAAAGGAAGCCAGGATTTCAATCCAGCCAGGCTAGCCCCAGAGCTTTCCCCTGACCATTGCATTCTGATTGAATAAATCAGAGAAAGGATTCATTGAAAAAAAATGAGCATTTAAAATAATTCTGTCTGGGATCTGGACACATAAAATACTTAAGTTTTTCACTCCTCTCTATAAGATGGAAGAAGCAGGGTAGGGAGCACCAAGGTTTATCAAAAGTATCTTCGAAATCACTCCAGTGCTCTAACGGCGATTCTAGCCCTGACAGCAAGCTCAAGACTTAATTCCCTACTGTCTTGTGTTGTTTCTAATGGATTCTTATGCACATGCTGCAGAGGAGAAATGATACTAAACCCAGGAACCAGGAGATAATAATGCCCATTTCTTAAACATGTACTTCAAGCCAGCCCTAGGCTAGACACTGTTGCTACACTATCTTATTTAATCTTTCCAACAACTCTATGGGATATATAGTTTCACCTTATTTGAAGGTGAATGAAGTTAAGGAATTTCATCACTTGGTAGAAAAGGCATTTGGGTCCAGGTCTACCTGACTTCACAGGCCATGGTCTCTCAATGGGGTTTTTGAGCTCAAGTCCCATCTCTGCCTTTCACCAGCAGTTTGACTTGGAACTAGTCCCTTAGCAGCTCTCTGACTTACTCTTGGTCATCTATTAACATCACAATAATGATAATAACAATATTTTATTATCCAGCATATCCAGCCATTCTCAAGATTGCTATAAGAAAAACATATGTAAAGTGACTACATTAGTCACTTGAAAATTTATGTTGTCTTCCCTGCTTCGCTACCTCTCATCCTACATATTTTACAAAATAAAACCAATACAAAGTGCAAAACCCAAATTGTAAATAAAATCTGCAATTAAAATAGCCTTCTTATTGATTTCCTTATTGCGAAATTGTGAGTAAATTTACGAAAGCTGGACGGTGCCCATTTTCTCAGGCCCCACATTTGCTGACGCTCCAAGCACAGCCTGTTGCATATTTGCTAATCCCTCACTTGGAGATGGTGTAGTAAACTGTGAAATGCTCTGTAAAGGTAAGGAATCATCTCTGGTGTGGGGTTAGTATTAGTCACACCTAGCTGTCTTCCCACCTAGCTCAGGAACTCACCACTACACATCTGTCTAGCTCCATGCAAAGTCAACCCTTAGACATGCCTGCCCAGGTAAGCTCTCATGATTCGCCAAGACTGAAGTAGCTGCCTCTCCTCCATGCTTCCACACTGTTCTTATCCCTGTTCTGGCCCATTCTAAGCCTCTGGACATATGAAACAGAGAGCAATAGAAGGGAAGAATGTCTCCCTGCTGATTCACACCAGAGTTTGACTGAAGAATGAGATCACATTCAGTATTCTGGAACGCAAAAAGGAAAAGAAATTTATGGCCAAAAGCCCCTGCATACATCCCCCCTCCCTCTACCCTAGTGCCAGCCAGCACTGCTGTGATAACGACCGTCATTGGAGTTTGTAGATTTCCCTTCCCAAGAGTGCATTCAACAAAAGGAACTCAGCCAGCAGTGTTTTGTTTAACAGCCTGGCCATCCAGAATTCATGTAGAAATCAATGACAAGCAAGCACACCTTAGCACATCTTAATGGGAAGAAATCTCACCAAAAAGGCTAAATGAGGGGCTGGCCCGGTGGGATAGTGGTTAAGTTTGCATGCTCTGCCTCAGCAACCCGGGGTTGGCTGGTTCGGATCCCAGGCGTAGACCTATGCACCGCTTATCAAGCCATGCTGTGGCAGCGTCCACATATAAAATAGAGGAAGATGGGCACAGATGTTAGCTCAGGGCCATTCTTCCTCAGCAAAAAGAGGAGGACTGGCAGCGGCAGATGTTAGCTCAGGGCTAATATTCCTCAAAAAAAAAAAAAAAGGCTAAATGAGCAAAGAGACAATTCAATTTCCAGAGTAGAGACTAGGCTGAGATGGAACACAAACAAGAAAAAACTCCTGAGGTGCTCTAAGACTAAGGCTGACTACATGGGATACCCACTGTTTTCAAACCACTACAAAATGGAGAAGAGGAGAAATCATTAGCGACACCTGCCAATGACCCCATATGATGCTGAGTCCCTGCCAGAAGCTGAACATGAAATTCTAGTGAGGGAAAGGGAAAAGATAGATGGGCATGTTTATGTAAACCCCTTTCCCTAGGGGCTTTCCTGACACACAGTGGGAAGGAGGGGAGAAGGCACCTGAAAGAGGTAAGCAGAGAGACAGGGGAATTGGATGATGGGAACGTCTGGGTCTCTATGGACATGATCCAGCACTGAGAATGTCTCAAGGGTGTGAGGGGGAAGGGAACACAGGAAGGAGTGAAAAGAGGATGAAGCATTTTAAGGTTTATAAACTATGAGTTCTAGGAGCCTCTCATTATTTTTTATTAATGCATAATTCTAAGAGTCAAAGAGTATAACTAGGTTTATTAAAAAATAGCAGGCTCCTTCTCCTGTCCCTGCTTATTCTCACTTCTTAATCTCCAGAGTCATCACATTCAACTCTTTTGCTGTTTCTTCCGATATGTACCACCTAATTTCAACATAAGATATCCATATTGCAGGGCCGGCTCCACGGTTGAGTGGTTAAGTTTGCGAGCTCTGCTTTGGTGGCCTGGGGTTCGCAAGTTTGAATCCCGGGCACAGACCTACACACCGCTCATTAAGACATGCTGTGGTGGCATCCCACACAGAAGAACTCGAATGACTTACAACTGGGACATTCAACTATGTACTGGGGTTTAGGAGAGAAAAAAAAAAAAAAGAAATGGAATGTTTATTTCCTACTTTGTTTAAAAGAAAAAGATATCCATTTTGCTTTCTTGATTTTGAAGTTATAGAAATTATCTAATTTACTCCTCCTAAGGCAGACAAGGGTTTTGCTTGCTCAGTGTCCTCTGTGCCCATCACTGCCACATCCTGAAACTCCGTCAAACCTGCGAAACACTTCTCAGTCAAGTCAAGAACATTAATACCTGATCTACTGTTTTCCTTGGGGACTTCTCTATGAAGCCTGTCACTGGCTCCAGTGTGGACTGGGTTCCCCTTGGCCAGCTGCATAGCAGGCATAATGGGCCTTCTTTTCTTTGTCGTCTCTCTCTCCTCCTGGGAACCCTCTGTTTCCTGGATCTCAGGCTTTTTCATTGATTCTCTTATCTGCGCCTATGCACTGAGCGAGAGGCCGTGGGCAATGAATATGTTGACATCTTGCACATCTGAGAATATTGTTATTCCACCCTCAGACTTGATTTATAGTTGAGTTGAGAACATAATTCCAGTTAGAATTCATTTCCTCAGGACTATGAAGCATTTCTCTATTGTCTTCTACCTGCCAGTATTGCCACTCAGAAGCTTGATGCCTTTATAATTCCTGAGCATACGTGACCTGCTGCTTTTTCATGTCAGGAAGCTCTTAGAATCCTCTCTTTAGTGCTAGTGTTCTGCATTTTCTTGATGATACGCTTTGGTATGGTCTTTTTTCCTCTTTCTGCTAGATAGGAAGTGGGCCCTATTAATCTGGAAATTTATGGCCTTCAATTAATGGAAATTACTTGTTCTTTGGGATATTGAATGGAAAATGTTTAAAATTCCAGATTCCAACTACAATCTTTCGGAACCTAATCTCAGGAGTGGCATTCCATCTATTGGTCATATTCTATTTGTTGAGGCTCGTCAGTAAACTCAACTGGAGGGGAGGAGATTACACCAGCATGTGAGTACCAAGAAGGGGACCATCCGGAGCCATCTTGGAGGCTGCCTACCACACCTTACTTAAAAACAGACAAGAGTCAGAATCTCTTCACTTCATCTGCTTTTCATGAGAGTGAAACAGTGTTACCTGTAGCAATACAGGGCCTCAGTCTGATGTCGAAGATTTTCCTGAGATCTCCTACAGACAGAAGGAATATGGAAGACTTTTTTCCCCAGAACAGCAACTACAATAATTCTATAAGATGATCTTATCCTGCTAAGAGTATTAACAAGAAAAATCACTAATAGGAAAATTAAGGTGAAGATTAGGGTAATTAATCATTCAATGAATTTGAACAAAATATTCATTTGTCTTCATAATTAAGGTGTATAAGGAAAAAAGATTACTTCTCCAAAATTATACAAATCAATGAATCAAAATTTCTTTTCCCTTTACTAACAGAGACATTCATTACAAAAGTGATTACTCAAACTCAAATACAGTTATCTCATTTCTCAAAGAAAAGTCTAAAAACCCAGAGAATTAAAATCGGAGTTTTTGAGGCAGTTTCCATAACTCTATCATTTCCAGCAGGGAGAAAAATCAGGTAAGTTATTATGTATTGAACACAATCTAGTTGGCTAATTGAGTTTTTCTCACTTCTTGAATTGATTGTTGCAACTACAGCACAAGTAGCTGCCTTCCCCCTATTTGTTATCTGATTGACTAATTATTAAAAGTTCCCAAACTTTGGGCAGAACATATTTTGAGGATTTGGATTGAAATGTATAACTGAACAGCCGTTCTCCCCTCTAACTGCCTGTGTGTTTATACGTGTGTTATAACTATACTGTACTTTATATTAGTCTTCTCACAGAGTGTGTGTGTATGTGTGTTATAAATTTGCTGTGCTTTTTATTAGTCTTCTCACAAAAAAATACTGTAAGTTAGCAGTGATTGTTAGGTGTAAAATATGTGCTATTTTCAGCTCAGTCAAAGGTGAGCAAATGCGACATTTTATTTAAGTGAGTCAGAAATTGGCTGGGCATTGTGTGACACCTTCTTTCTCAGTGCCAAGAGCCCAGTTCCCATATCAAATTCCACTTGAACTCAAATCTGCAGAAATTGATCAGCTCTAGAAGCAGTTATACAGGACAAGAAATGTTGAGCATCTATTAAATTCAACTTTCCTTATGTTCTGATGGAGTATCTTATCATTTATTGGTATATTTTCAAACCAATGCTGAAATATTATTCCAAAATACATGTGAATTAAAGATAAATGTGGAGTTACTTAATAGAATCTGCATGCTTAAAAAGGCAGGCAGTTTCCAGTTCCTATTATGTGTCCACCACAGTACTAGGCTTCATAGGAGAGAGAGGAGTGATAGAAGTTATAATCCAAAAATTCACTGGCGAAACACAGCACATCCAAGAGAATTCTACAACAATATAAGCTATTCAATGTCTACTCCTCAGACACATTTTTCTTTGGCCTATGAAACCTTGGAAGCACAATTCATATTCTACTCAGTACATCACCAGTACCTAACACAGTAACTAGAACATAATAGATGCTTAAAAGAAGGCTAATGGATGATGAATATATCAATAAGTAAATTAATAAATGTATAAATGAACCAAATATAGAGTGCTATGGAAATTAAATGGAGGAAGACATTCCTATAGGTTAGTAAGGTAATGAAACTATATATACGGAAGTGATAGGGGGCTACAGCTGAATGTTTGTGTCCCCCTAAAATTCATATGTTCAAACCTAACCCCCAGTGTGATGGTATTTGGAGTGGGACCTTTGGGAGGTGATTAAGTCATGGGGGGAGAGCTGTCATGAAAGGGATTAGTGCCCTTATAAAAGAGACCCCAGAGAACTGTCTTCCCCACTTCCACCATGTGAGGGGGTACAGGGAAAAGACAGATGTCTATGAACCAGAAGAAGGCACTCACCAGCCACCAAATCTGCTGGCACCTTGACCTTGAACTTTCTAGCCTTGAGAACCATGAGAAACAAACATCTGTTGTTCATAAGCCACCCAGTCTATGATACCTTTGTTACAGCAGCCCAAATGCACTAACACATGGTATTTACTCAAGTCTCAGAAAATTAAGAATATTTTGCTTGGATAGAAATACGGCAGGAATGACATTAGCTGAGCTGCCTTCCTGAGAAAATACCCTTCACCACCTTTCCCAAACAATCATGAAGTCTTAGTCTTCTTCACTGTTTCGTGATCTTACTGCTTCTTTTATAGACACGAAGAGGTGGACTGTATAACGGTTACTTGGGCTGAGTTGAAATCCTGCTTTCTCATTTCCTAGCTGTGTGACTATAACCAACTTATTTAATTTCTCATCTATATTCTAGGAATACTAACCAAACTTAACAAGTTGTTATGAGGATTAAACGGCGTATGATATGAAAGGTTTAGGGCAGTGCTTAGCACATAGTGATTATTAAATAGGTGTTAGCTATTTTGGCAGAGAGAGCCAGCTCTCCACCAAAATCTGCTCACTCCTTCCCACACACACTATGTCACTGGAAAGAGGCTGCCAAAGACGTTCCCCAGCCTTCCTGCATGTAGATGTGACCAATGACTAGTGCTCATCCACGGAACGTGAGCAGAAGTGATACGGTCCCTTCTAGGACAAGGCATTAAAAAAGCACATGTGTCTTCTCTGGGCTGCCTTTTATTCCTTATTCTCTCAGCTGATTGGGCCCAGCCATACAACAAGTCATTAAAATATTCATTACATAATAAGACCTAGAATAATTTACCACTGATAAGAATTAGTGAAGCCAGCCCTGTTGGTCTAGTGGTTAAGATTCAGCTCTCTCACCTCTGCAGCCCAGGTTTATTTCCTGGTCAGGGAACCACACCATCCATTTGTTGGCTGTCATACTGTGGTAGCTGTGTGGTATTGTGAAGTTGAATGCTATGTCACCAGTATTTCAAATACAGCAGGGTCACCCATGGTGGACAGGCTTCAGCAGAGCATCCAGACTAAGACAGACTAGGAGGAAGGACCTCACCATCCATTTCTGAAGAAATGGGCCATGAAAACCCTATGACTGGCAGTGGAGCAATGTCTGATGCAGCACCAGAAGGTGAAAGGATGGTGCAAAAAGCCTGGGCATAGTTCCACTCTGCTGTCCACAGGGTCACTAGGAGTTGGAATCAACTAAAAGGCACTAACAACAAAAGAATTAGTGAAAACACACCTTGCCATTATAATTAGAGAAAATTTTCTGTGTTTGTATTAGGATTACCTTCAACTGGAAACAGCCAATACAATATAGCTTAGGTATCTTTCAGCTTTGCTTTCTTACTGAGCAAGATGGGAAACAGAAGCCACAATGTTCATTTGTGTGCTACAGTAAGTCTTGAAGGCAACAAAAGTAGAGAAACATATTCAGTAATCATCATGTCAAGACAGCAGGAATTGTAGATCTTTTTCATGAGAAGGATACTTGCTTTGAAAAGACTGTAGCTTTACCAAAACATGGATTTGCCTTAACTGAAACACCTAATGTGAAGCATCCTCCAAGGATGCTTGGGCCGGCCCCAGGGCTGAGTGGTTAAGTTCGTGTGCTCCACTTTGGCGACCCAGGGTTTCGCTGGTTCGGATCCTGGGCGTGGACATGGCACCACTCATCAGGCCATGTTGAGGTGGTGTCCCACATGCCACAACTAGAAGGAGCCACAACTAAAATATACAACTATGTACTGGGGGGATTTGGGGAGAAAAAGCAGGAAAAAAAAAGAAGATTGGCAACAGTTGTTAGCTCAGGTGCCAATCTTTAGGAAAAAATAAAAGAATGCTTATCACATTTCTTATCACCAAAGACTGGGTGGCTTAAACAACAGAAATTTATTTTGTCACAATTCTGGTTGCTAGAAGTCAAGAGCAAGGTGTCGGCAGAGTTGACTTCATTCTGAAGCCTCTCTCCTTGGCACATGGATGGCCATCGTCTCCCTTTATCTTCACCTGGTCTTCCCTCTGTACATGTCTGTGTCCTCATCTCCTTTGCTCATAAAGACACCAGTTATATTGGATTAGGACTACCTTAATGACCTTAGTTTAACTTCTTATTTGAGGTATAATTGACATACAGTATTATTTTAATTTGATTATCTCTTTAAAGGCCCTATCTCCAAATACAATCACATTCTAAAGTACTGGGGGGTTAGGACTCAACATATGAATTTGGGGGCTCACAATTCATTCCATAACAAGAACCAAAGCCACATTTGCTTAGAGTACTTGAGAGTAATCCTGAGTTTGGCTGGGAGACAAATGGAACTTCAGGTCTCACCAATTATTTTAAACCACACTCTCATACTCTACGAAATTCCCTCAGAGTTTAAGATTAAGGGCCATGTGACTTAGAAATGTCCAAATTCAAAAAACTGAAGTAGTGCCTCTATCAATAATATTATCCTCTCAGAGCCAGCCTGGTGGTGTAGTGGTTAAGTTCACATGCTCTGCCTCAGTGGCCTGGGGTTCACAGGTTTGGATCCCAGGCGCAGACCTACACACCGCTCATCAAGCCATGCTGTGGTGGCATCCCGCACATAAAATAGAGGAAGATTGGCACAGATGTTAGCTCAGGGCCAATCCTCCTCACAAAAATAAATAAATAAATAAATAATAATAATAATAATATCCTCTCCAAAACTGCCAATATCTTTTCTAACGTGTTTCAGGTAGTAATGCACCTCATCATTCTCCCTCAACATTAACTCAATGGAACTACCACTCTCTCTCAATGGTTCCAGTATATAAACTTATTTTCTAGCTAACACATCTACGAAAAATGCCTTTTTAAACCCCTTTTAGAAACTGTAGATGCAACTGATAACCTCAAAAGAATGAAGAGTTTATTTGCCAGGCACAACCTTGGCACACAAATTCTATTGCTCTCTACAGTTGTTTCACCTGACAACATTAATTCTTTTCTACTTTAATGAAGAAGAAAGTTGTACATGTCACGAGGTTTCTTTGCTTCATCCTGAAATCACAGGCAGCCTCTCGCCCTGGGAGTGTCGTCTAGGGCCCTGAAAGTGGGCTCTTTCATCTGAGCCCGGTTTTGAATCACAGCCTCTTCATGTGGTTTTTCTTAGGAGGAGACAGAATACAAAGACACCTCCTGCACAGATGTTCCCTGGCTTAAAGAGGATGAGTCTTGAAAGGCTTGACTGAAATTTGAGCAGAAGTTGCATGTTTTTATGAGACAAGTAAATCACACTCCCAGAATAGTCGGAAGGGGTGGGGTTCACTGATGTCTTGGCTCAGCTGGCCGCTATCTGGGCACTTAAGAAGGAAGTAAATCATTTAATAGGAAGCTCTGAAGCCACCTTTATGGATGCTGCTGCTGGACAACTGTGGATTCCATTAGCCAACTTGCCACATTGGAAGAAGAGACTAGAATCAGAAATTTGTGAAAACTTTCCAATGCTGGAGGAAGTGTTTCAGCAGTTGAAAATAATAAAATCTATAGTCAATTTGTCAGAAGTCTGCAGATACTCAGAACTACTACAAAAGTCTCCTGAAAAATACTTCTGTTGAAATGGGAAAATGAATTCATAATTCTTTTCTTGCAAGTTTCATCATAGCACCAATGATGAAAGTTCTGGAAAGATACCCTCATTAATTTGAGGACAAGAGAAATAAAATCATGAATTCAACCCCTAAAGAAAGAATCTGGGAAATATCTAGTGTTTCATAAGACAAACTATCTTCACATAACAAAGAGCATAATGAAACATAATGAAAATTAATATTCAGTTCGCCTCTTACTCCTTTACGTGTCAGGGTTTTCAGCACTTATTCCTATGAAAATAAAAGTCAAAATCAAATGGAAATCAAAGATGTCTGCATATTGCTACTTCAATAAGCTCTCTCTATAATCTTACCCCCTCATTAAAGCGAAACCAAACAAAACTGATACTAGTACAATTTAGATCTCCTTCAACTTTTTTCAGAAATTAGCATAATTTCTTAAGAAAAAAAGAGAGTAAAAAATTATAATTCTTAAAAAAGATTATTTCTATTCTCCATTGTGAAATAAATTCCCAATCAGTTGCTTTCACTGCATTAATATCAGTTTTGTTTTAGGGAACAGAACCAGGCCCCAATCAAACTGGTGGCATGTGTCCATCTGGATTTCAGTGTTAATATGGACCAGTGACTGCTGTGTTTCTCTCCTTCTCCCCCTTTTGGAATTAGAGTGTTTATTTCAGTTATCCTACCCCTGTATCATCACTGTATATTGCGTCTGTCAGGGTAGGTGAATTCTCCTTAGTTCCAAGACTTTTAGATTAATAGGAACTGTAACCAAGGAACCAAGTCCATGGAGCCACCTCCACTCCTGGACCTGATTTAGATAAGATCCTTTACCTGGAGCCTGAACCTCACACCCTAGTGAATAACACTTTGGGAAATGTTTGGGAAAGAGACAGCATTTTTGGCAAGTGGAGGGAGAGAAATAATTTGTGGCCAAAGGGCACAATAGGGTGGCTTTTAAAACACGCCAACATTTGTTGACCTTTTTCTCATAGAGGTGAACCACACCTGGTTCTCTGGGGACATTTGCTCTGGGGGAAGCCAGCTACCATGTAAGAAGCCCAATTTCCCTGGGACTGATTGTAAAGGCCAGAGGTAGGCCTTCTGAAGGGAAGCCTTACTGAGCTCTCAGCCACCGGCCAGCCACAATGAGCAGTCACATGAGTGAATGACTTGGAAGTCCAGCTCTGTTCAGCATGCTGATGTCTGACATTTGCCTGCAACTGCATGAAAGATTCCAAGTAAGAATGGCCGATCTGAGCCCTTCCCAAATTCCTGACCCACAAAATCATGAATAAATAAAATTATTATTTTAAGCCATTTAGTTTGGGGGTAATTTTAAACAAAGCAGTAGAAACTAGAACAGCAAATGACAGAAAATACTTGGGGTAATGTAAAAAGAAAAGTATCACAGTGCCCCTTACCTGCAGTTTCGCTTTCCAAAATTTCAGTTACCCCCAGTCAATCACAGACATCATCTGCTCCTGACATCCAACCATCCACATCGTCAAGGCTCGATGATGCTCCTTCTGACGTATCGTCAGAAGGCCAATAGTAGCCTGAGGCTATCACAACACCTCCATCATTCACGTTACTTCATCTCATCATGTAGGCATTGTATCATCTCACAACATCACAAGAAGAATGGTGAGTACAGTACAAGATATTTTGAGAAAGAGAGAGAATACATTCACATGATTTTTATTACAGTGTATTGTTATAATTGTTCTATTCTATTACTAGTTATTGTTGTTAATCTCTTACTAATTTATATATTAAACTTTACCTTAGCTATGTATGTATAGGAAATAACATAGTACATATAGGCTTAGGTACTATCCTTGGTTTTAGGCATCCATTGGGGGTCTTGGACCATATCCCCCATGGTCAAGGGGGGGACTACTGCAAGCTTATTAAAATAATAAATGTGGCTCATAGAGTCAAATAGGCAAAAGCCAGGGCATATCCTTGGATGCAGGTCTCAGAAACTACTCAACAGTCTCATCTGAGTCCTTCAACTAGAATGAATGTGTCTTAGCCTGCTTGGGCTGCTCTAACAAAATATCACAGACTGGGTGGCTTAAACAACAAATATGTCTTGCAATTCTGGAGACTGAAAGTCCAAGGTCAGAGTACCAACATTGTTGAGTTCTGGTGAGACCCTGCCTCGTGGATTACACACAGCTGTCTTCTCATTGTATCCGTACATGGGGGAGAACAAAGAGAAGCAAGCTCTCCAATGTCTCCTCTTTAAGGGCACTAACCCCATCATGAGGGCTCCACCTTTGACCTAATTACCTCCCCTAAAGTCCCAACTCCATATACCATCATACTGAGGATTAGAGTTTCAACATATGAATTTGGGAGGGACCCAAACATGCAGTCCATAACAGAACAATTACCAAAAAGATTTTTTTTACATTTATCCTCACTCAACTCAAGATTTAAAGTCCCAAACTCGCCGAACTTTTGGCCATTGTCAACAATTTGGACAGAACAAAGCCACAGTATTTTAATTTGTAATTCCACTGTCTCAGTTACCTATTGCCATTATAATGCTGTATAATTATAATAATAGTAGACAATCATGAAACCTCAGTGGCATACGGCAGTAAGCGTTAATTACACATACATGTAGGGTTAGCTCAGGGTCAGCTTCTAATTTTAGATGACATTGCTCACATGTCTAGATTTCCACTGGTTGTTGGATGAACTATGATGGCATCATCTTTACATGTCTCTGTTCTACATGTCTTTCATCTTCCATCAGGCTAGCCCAATCATGTTCTCATAGTAAAGACAGAGACACAAGAGAAAGGGCAGAAATACTCAAGGTGACTTTAGGCCAAAGCCCAGAACCGGCACATCTTCACCCCCACCTCATTCTGGAGGGCATTTATAATTACAGGAGAGAAAATATATACTCCATTGTTCTTGTGAGAGTAACTGCTAAGTCACATGGCAAAGCCACAGATTCAGGAAGGAGTAAAATGCTGGGACTATCAAAACAATTTGCCACCTGCACCAAGGCTGCACACAGTAGGGGGAAAGGAATTCACCAAAAGGAATCCAAATTGCCAAAAGAAGGTTTAAGTTAATTTTGATAAGCCAATTATAATAATAAAGCAATTTTTATACAAAATATTACATGCATGTGTATGTTTAGTTTCTTATTAAGGTGTCTAAAGTTTTCATTAGATTCTCATACCAGTTTTAGATGGGAAAGAACCACATACAGAAAGTCAGAACACTTGGTGGCAGTTTGGTCACCGTTGAAGCTTTGACATGGTTCTGTACTGTCTGGGCCTCAAATCCCTTGTCTGTAAACTGAAGATGATGCTTAGCTACTTAGCACCTATTAAGCAGAGCTCTCCATTATTGCCCCATTCTTAGAAGGCCTCTGTGGACATACAATTTATTGAGATATTAGTTTACGTTAATTCTTACATATTTAAAAAGTCATTGGCAAGCAACATCATCATCATAAGCAAGATTAAAAGGCAGGCTCGAGGGGCTGGCCCCGTGGCCAAGTGGTTAAGTTCGCGCGCTCTGCTGCAGGCAGCCCAGTGTTTCGTTGGTTCAAATCCTGGGCGCGGACATGGCACTGCTCGTCAGACCACGCTGAGGCAGCATCCCACATGCCACAACTAGAAGGACCCGCAATGAAGAATATACAACTATGTACCGGGAGGCTTTGGGGAGAAAAAGGGAAAAAATAAAATCTTTAAAAAAAAAAAAAAAAAGGCAGGCTCAAAACCAGTGACAATTAAGACAATTAAGCCAGGCAATTAAAACCTGCATTGGCCATTTGCTTGCTGTGTGAATTGGCAATTTACTTAACCTCTCCAGGCTTCAGTTTACCCATCTAGAAAATGGAAACAATAATAGTGGTATCTACCCCTCAGAGTTGTCGTGAGGACAAATGAAAGAAGAAAATCAGGACCATTGCTGGGACTTGTTTGTCTAGCAACACACCACGGCTACAATCCAGAGATAAGAGGTTGTCAGCACCCCAACACTAGGACCTTGTCATGCCCCACATCTTGATTCTCTTCACCCCTCCATTCCTGGTGGCTCTATATCAGACCACTGTTGTCTGAAGTACAGTACCATGGCCATGCTTGGTGACAGCATGGAAAGATGGCCTCTGCCTCACTCCACTTTCCAAATCTCAGGTGGTGCATCATATTGGTGAAAATAAATTATATTCAGAACCACAGGCGCAAAGGAGCCTAGAAAATGCAGGGTTCTTCTTTCACCTTTCCAATCTCTGCAGTAGACCAAGGCACACAACTCCCAGGGGCACCACGCTCATTGTATCACGTCGTCCCAAGGGCAGGGGAGGGAGGTGGGGCCTTATTTTCCTTGGGGTGGAGATCATGGAAGCTGTGAAGGCAAAAGGAGGGCAAAATTTGCTAAGAGGAAAGGATGACTCTCTGTAGATCCCACATAGCAGCAATGACAACTCCACCCCCTTGGAAAAAAGAGCTAGAATGCACTCATTTAGGTCCGACTTCATCTCTGAGAGATGTTAAGCAAATTTTACCTCACTAAAATACTAGTTCTACCCTCAAAGACACTGGTGAAAGATTAATGAGATGATGAGTATAAAAGCAATGATTGCAGTAATGACAAAGCTACTGAATTCCACTGAAGGCCAATCAGAATTTCCAAGAACAGGGAACATGCCCTGTTCTTTGTTATTCCCATGGCTACTACCTGACCCAGAATTAAATGTCAACACATGTTTACAGATGGGATAAGCCAGAAAGTACACTTGTACTGTAAATGACAATGTATAGAAATCTGGGGATTAAAGACGAGGAGGGAAGGAAAGAGAAACTATTTTACAAAAATCATAATAGAGGGGACATCTACTTTGCCTCTGTGGAGAGCCAGACTTCATCTTAACTAGAGGAAGATTTCTAAGTACTCAGTAGGCCTCCCAATGAAGAGTTCTAAGGAAAAAGAATATTATTGGATTTTAAGATTAAATCACTTTTCAATTCTATGTCTACTTTACTTACGCATTCGCTTATTTCATAAGTTTCTCAACCTCATCTTCATAAATGACCATCATTATACCCTCTAGAATTAACAGAACAGGCATATTGCCACTCGGTTCATTTGCTGCTTTAAAAGCTGTTATTTAGTCTTCATCTGAGAGATATCAAAGATTCCTATGAGAGAAGCAAAGCAATTTCCTTCTTGTTATGTGTTTTTCTAGAATCAGACAACATGCCAAGTACAGGGCAGTAAATGAAATAAGGTAAACCCTTCCTGAACCTTCACTATGCCACTCACACTGCCAGGAATTATACGCGAGACAT